TCTGTAGACCAAGTGTAGTCCGTTCAATACTGTATGTGTGGGCTTCATATTTTAGCGGCTTTGGCGCGCACAACAATGCGCTAATTCATGAATACCGCTTATAAATCATTTATTAATACAATATACGGCGCGTTAGTATGTAGCGCTTATTCATGAATACGCCAACAACTCAATACATAGTGATTGCGCTAAATTTTGAATACGCCAATTTATGTACACGTACAAGTATCATGAGAACCTTTTGCTTGACAGACATCAAACTTGGTACATTGGTACCCACTGGAAAAAAGATGACCCCTATTTATTCTGAGATCACAAGTTCAAAGGTCAAGAGTCAATCTATTCTGGACTTATGAAGATATTGTCTGCTTAAAAACCCTTTGCTTGACAGACGTCAAACGTTTTACAATAGTTTCCCATAAGGAGTAGATGACCTCTATTGATTTTGATTTTACAAGGTCAAAAGTAAAGGGTCAAACTGGACATAGGAAGATATCTTAAGAACCTTTGCTTGACTGACATGAAACTTCGTGCAAGGGTTCCCCCTGAGGAATAGAGGACAACTATAGATTTTGAGGTCACAAGGTCAAAGGTCAAGGGTCAAACTTTTCTAGACATAGGAATATATCTATATTGTCCGTTCAATATCTGAGAACCATTTGCTTGAAAGACATCAAACTTACTATAGTAGTTCCCATTAAGGAATAAATGACCCCTATGTCTTTTGTGGTCACAAGATCAAGGTCAAGGGTCAAACTGGACATTGGAATATACAAACCGCTCAATATCTTGAGAGCCCTTTGCTTGACAGACATCCAACTAGGTACACTGGTTCTCCTTAAATAAATATATTTCTATATAGATATAATTTGTTGCTGGGGAATTTTACATAGTAAACGTTAACCACAAACGAGATGCTTATAGATAGCATTCCACTTCCCATTACAAAAACTTTAGTCCCCAAGGAGTATTCATTTATGTGTTTTTCATAAATCATTCAATTATTTTTCCAGCACATATTCACAAAGTACTCAACTTGAATCATCTAAATATAAAAAATAATAATAATGTAGAATAAAACGTTCATGAAAATAATTTAAGAAACAAATGACAAATCCCTGCAGCCAGGTTGTACATGGATATAAATTCGGGGTGGTAGGGGGATGTTTCCTGTCTGCAAGTACCTGTTTTTTAATAGTAATCTATAAAGTTCATTTTAAGTTGTTTTTTTTTTTTAAAGTTTACGTCAGAAATCCTGTCACATATATATCTGAATATATCAATGTATGTATTTAAGCAGTTTCTTCCTAGCCTAAAAATTGAGTCTAGGTTAAAATGCCCTTATCACCTGCATAGGATGTTTATGTCTCCTAGCTGATTCGATAGGCAAGAGCATGCTCTGAGTACAATTTTTTAAATCAAGACAGGCTTGTGACAAATTAATTGATGTTTCAGATATTTCAATCAGCATTTCGCAAGTATTTCGCAAATTCTTTATTGACTTTTACAAATACATCCTATCGCTGGGTCGTATTTTGTCTTATATATTTCATAACAGTTGTTAGGTTATTGTTTTAATACTTAATTTGGCTACAGATTATTCCATCTACATGATCAAAACATAACGCTTACGGCGGGTGTGACTGGGCGACATAAGATGATTACTCCCCCTAGGCACCTGATCCCACCTCCTGGTATTTCCAGAGGTCTATGTTTTGCCTTATTGAAGATTTGTATTCTATACTGGATTTAGGAGATTGATCACTATTCGTTACTTTCGCCGTTTCAGTAAAATCGAAATGGATTATACTTTTTCTTCAATATTTCTTCAGCTGACAGCCTGTACATCGATATCTTATTATGTAGTTGACAATTCTATCTGCATTTGTATCCCTTTTGCCGTCTGAAATGAAAATGTATCTATAGAGGAAAATTTATTTTAGAGTTGCCTCTCTTGCGTTACCCTGGTTTCTCTCATTATTTCTGGATACAAGAATGTACTATGTTGTTTTAATATAAAGATAGATGCTGCATTTCCTCGCTTTATGTATAAACAATCAGAGTGGGAAGGGTCCAAATAACAATTAATATAATGATAAAATAAAAACACTTTTGAGATGGGGTGGGGTATATTTCTTTACTACAAATGAATATTTTTTACATACTTTTTGGAAGATGTGGACAGTGTGATATTTTGGATTGAATGCTGTCTTCTACATAAAGAGACAACATGCCTTCCGGTCAATCTTATTTCATTTTGAAGCAAAATCATGTTTAAAAAATAATACAAACATTGTTAATGCAACCGCATTTTAAATTTGTAATTATTTCCAAGTGTTGCAGTATTTTATCTTTGAATTATATAAGGTATGCTTTTTAGACAAGCATGTTTTTGTATTCAAGTTGCCTAATAAGTGATAATTTAAAAAAAAAAAATAAGAAAATTCAGTAGAATTTTCTAATTCACTATTACGCAAGCTTTTACTAGAAATTACATTGCATTAAATGACAATTTTTTTTTTTTTTAAAATATAAAATCTTATCTTAGGAATGTTTAACCATTTCTTCTTGAATTCTATACATCGTACGAAGAAAATCTAATGCTGTCGAAAAGTAGAGTATCGTACTTGCATAGACAAAATATCAGTCATATACATGTATGTTACGACTAGACTCGGGGTAGAAATACGTCGTATTTTGAGATTGTTTACAAAAACATTAACAATTTAATCAAAACTAAAACCTATGACTTATATAAAGTTCATTCTGTAGACAGAAAAGAATATACCTTAAGCAGTTTAAATTTTACGGCACCAGTGCAACTTTTTGATATTTCAACTGCTGAGGGACACAGCTTTATATTTACATGATTATATTGCTGTTTTAAGTGATACTGAATGGGCAGATCCTGGATTTTTTTTCGGGAGGAGGGATGGGCAAACCCCCTCCCCCAAAAGTATTACTTTTATGCATTATGCAAAATTTAAATCTACTTTCTTATATTTAAGTACATGTATTCTCCATTCTGCAAAATCGATATTCAATACTCAATGTAGGATGTAGAATACTGAAACATAAGAAAGTAGATTAAATTTTAAAAAATGCAAAGATTGTTTTTCCTTACATCATATTTTCTTAACTTTGAATCTGAAGTAAAAAAAAATGTTTTTACCAGAACCACCATTAGAATTGGCTTAAAAATACTTTTTAGAAGGGGGTATGGGGTATGGATATCATAACCATATTCCAAAAGATAATAAGTTCCTGCATATAATGCATATGTAAGAAGAATTCTGAAAACCAGGTTTTTGTAGAATTGAACAGGAAATCGTAAATCGTATTCTTTTTCCAGAAGTTCTGGAAATCAGGTTTTCGTAGAAAAAAAAATTCTTTTACGATCCCAAATGGCCCCTAGGGTGAAAATGAAAATTCTAAAAACCTTACTGCACATCTACAGGACACCACCAATCAAATTCCGAAAGATGAAGTGGTCATAATACATAATGTAAGATCAGGTTTTCGTAGAAAAACATTTTTTTTTACCCCCAGGGTGAAAATAAAAATTTAAAAACCTTTGCACATCAACATAACATTACCTATCATATTCCAAAGAATGAATTGGCTACTGCATAAGATGTAAGAGAAATGCTGGGAACTAGGTTTTTCTAAGCAAAAAAACGACGATGAGGGAGAAAATGGTGTGATGGACGGACGGACCAAGATACCAAAAATAGCTGACGCCTGAACTTTCTTTAGAATGTGCGGGTTTCATAAATGAAACAACCAAAAAAGACTTCGTCGGCGGATCTGATCCGACAGGTAAGATAAAGTAATAGGTTAAACTGATTTGCTTGCTTGTATCTTTTATCGTCACCTTTTGCACAGGTATTAAAGATTACCGGAAACACAGAAAAGGGTAATTAGCTGCATGCAGAAATGCTGGAAGATCCAGTTAACCTTGCCACATAGGAAAAACAATTAGCACTTAAAAGTGTCAGAAAAAAAAAACAATTTGAAAGACCATGAAATTCAATACAAAATCAATGACTTCTTTATTTGAATTCAACGAAAATAAAAGGAAATCAGAGAATTTAGTAATTACGGTATATTGAAATTCTAGAAATAAAAGCTCAAAGACGTCATCACTTACTAATGTCGAAAGGTCCACAATAATAAATTACCGAACCAGCGAAAGAATTTACAGGCGCAATGTAGGCGGGGTCCTTCCTATAATCATGATGACAATTTTCATTCTGATGCAAATACTGAACATTCCACGGACAGAGTGTGAAATAGGAAATATATATCTTATATCACAAGAAATTATGTAACAGGGACGGCGCAGGATAAAACAGGTCTACCTGATTCCAATCCAAAGGCAGCAGTGAAATTGACACTTATTGAGAAAACGAAGACCAAAATGAAGATCTAGAAGGACTAAAGAAAAAAATACTGTACATGTACATAAATTGACGTATTCAAAATTTAGCGCAATCACTGGGTATTGAGTGGTTGGCGTAATCATGAATTAGCGCTACACACGTCCGCGTCATATTTTGTATTTAGAAATGATTTTTTACGGTATTCATGAATTAGCGCATTGTTGTCCGCGCCAAAGCCGCTAAAATATGAAGCCCGTTTTTTTAAGTACTCATAATTAAGTAACTGAAAGAAACAAAGACAGTACAACACAAGGTAAAATTGATCCCAAAACAGGAAGCAGTAGAAATCCCTTGTCCTTTATGTGCAACACAGAAGGAAAATTGATAATCTCTTGAAGCGGACCTCATTTTCTGTGATTCTAATTTTTTGGAGCTCAACTTTTTTTTTCATTTTTCACAATAAATGACTTAGGGGCCCTAATCCCCCCCCCCCCGTAAAATTACTTTTATAAGGACATAAATGATAGCAGGAATAAATCCAACAAGCCTCCGTAATAAGACGGACTATTTTCATTTCATTTCTGCTGTTCCATTATTTAGATAAATACAAGTCATATATAGCTTTCAAACCATTTTATTCATGTGCATTACTCAGTAACAATCATATACATACAGAAGAGACAATACAACTCCAATAAATTATTGCACCAACAAACATTATAGATTTCATCCCAAACATTCTTAATAACAGGGCACACATGCAATGATTCTCTCTATGATATGATAATGTAAGGCCTCATTTGGCGTGGAATGTCACTTAGACGACTAACTCTATCAGGAATGTAGGTTCGCAGACATTGTCAATGACTGTTGATTAAAAAAAATAGGAAATTCAAACAAGCCTTCATTTCACTACGCTTGGTTGTCATACTGTGGTATAATATTTGTATTCTTTTGATCTGGTCTAACTCTTCCACTGCCCACTGTTTCATTAATGAAACATTTTTAAAACAACGTTATGGTATCACATGAGTAAATCACTTTGAAACCCGTCGAGGGTAAGTAAAATCATTTTTACTTTTCTAAATCAGCTGAATAACATTAATCTAGATTTTATAAACAAATGAAAAAGTTAGAAACTCTTTTACCTTAATACTTTTCTTTCATTTACTTAGTTTGTGTAGAAAATAAGACTACAGAATTTAAACATTCTTAGACTAGATGACCAAGTACTTTGAACAGCAAGTCAGGTTCAATAGCTACCACGTCAGGTTCGCTAGATCCTAGAATCAGATTCACGATCTCCAGTCATGTTCACTTGATCTAGACAGGTTGTTCAATAAATCCCTAACCAGTTCACTAGATCCTCAAGTTGGTTCACAAAATACCAGTCAGGTTTAATATTATATAGACTCAGGGTTAAAAATCGTTAAGAGGTACAGTATAACCAGCTTGAATAATTAACGATGTCAGCACCACATGAAGTAAAGACAGATATCCTCTAATTAAAATACCTCCATGTAAACAAATACATATGATAAATAAAAATGCAAAAATACTCTTCATATGCTTTCTTCATATCTGCATATGTGTAAAATTTCGTATTTTTCTTATTTATGGCATGGAAATGTAAACAAGTGCTATACAACATCCGACAATAACCTGTATCTATATCGTCTTTTTTTTGGGGGTGGGGGGGGGGGGTGGGGGGTGGGAGGGGTCAATAACAGCATGATGTAATTTCATTAGAATATACAAAAGTTGAAGCCTTTATACAAGGGTTATCCATATATAAAAGCAAATATAACATCAATTTTTAAGATGATTCACCGCTGGTAGAGATGTAAACTCGGTGAGCTAAATCTTGCACTACAAAGACGACCTCAATTAACATGTAAGAAGTATTAATGATTTATAAGAATAGTCTGTCACGAAGCATACGTTTTGTAGAAAACTGAAGCACTATTCCTGGGTTAATTGCGTGGCCAGCACTGGCCCTTAGTTCCCGTATGAAGAATCAGGTCCTCGGAATCCTTCAGCACTTTTCCTTTGAATCTACTGAAGATTTTAATACCTTAATAAGGTTTGTAACAATTCTAGAAAAAGTCGTCGACTATAACTTCACTGACTTCTAGTCCTTTTTCCAGACATTTGGCAATTTCTTTAAGAATAATTACAACTCGTCTGTCCAGTGCTATCAAATGTGGCTCCAATAGGATAGGTCGTACGCTGTCCTTTTTGAGAGATTTCCTTAGTGAGTTACTCAGTCTCTCTGGACCTACGTAAAATTTGGACAGCTTGATGAACGTAGAAAACCTTATTACGCAGCACTGAGTTAATGGAGCCAGAATAGAGAGGTCGTCTTTCTTTGACTTACCAAACCTGAAGTGCACAAATAAAAATATCCATCACTGAAAGTAAACAAATAAACAGGGAAGTACATATTATAAGGCGATGTTTCTACTTACGCTCGACCATTGTCTAAGTGCATGTGGAATGTAACGTTTCCGAAATCTCTGAACGTTTCGTAATGGTGACGATCAAGATTTCCTGCAACATAAAACAAAAAAATCTGATGTGAAATCCTTTGTGGTAGAAGCTCTGCGAGAATCTTAAGGGGCCTTTGACCATTAATGTCTGTATAAAAGCAACATACCTTTGGCTTCCAAAAGAATGATCAATCATATTGAATATCACTATACACAATGTACTAGACATAGTATATACTAGATCTTAATAGGGAAAATATTAATTCTACTAAAGTCTAAGTACATCAATCTATCTGATGGTCAAACAGACTGTTCAGAAGCAGATTACTTTCAGGTACCCCTGATATATTGAGAATTATCTTATATGCACTCTTGATATATATTGGTTATGTATACTGATCATATTAAATAATGAAAGATAATCTGATGAACGACTATAGATGGAGAAGAAATGTCCTTGGGACTGGTTGTTAAGAAGACAAGACTTTAATTAATATGGAAATAGAATTCGGTGTTTTATGAATAACACAAAATCGATGCATAATTTCAGGAAACCATTCTTCCTACACCGGAAGTAGCTGAGTACAGCTGTTGACAGGGCTTATATTAATTACCCCCGGAATTGTACATGCTGAGGACGAACGTCATCTGACGATGCTAAAACAAAACCTAACGGAAATGTCATAGGCTACAACTTCTTAACTTCACTTTGTAGTAGAATAAACGAGCTGTAACGTCACCACGATATAGACACAAAGTGACAGATATTGATTTGATACTTTATGGCCGAGGGTGTAAAATCCAAAGTATTGCCAAAAAAAAATAAAAACAATGTATAGTTTATCTATCATCTCGGCCGTCAACTTACCTGTTAAAAAGTCAAATATATGCATGTCTATGAGATCCTGTAGTCTTCGTTCGTTGTTGTAAGGGGGCTTAGTTCTAACCTTGTCACAAAGGTCATCATATACTTCCCAGTATGCTTTGCGATGTTTGCTGTATGATCTTTTCCATGGGTTCCTCCATGTCTTTCTCCTGGCTATTTTTTCTGGGGGTAAGAAAGCTGCTAGGGACGCTTCTACCGTGTCGGGGTTACCACAGATCGCATGACCAGAATCACAATAGTAAGAGCACGAGCCATGGAAGCAAACATTGTTGGCTGAAATTAAAAAAGAAAGACAACCCCTACTGAATAGTCTTCAGACATTTGGAGGAGATTCGGGAGTGTTCTTTATATAATGGCATTTACCAGGTGAAATGAAGAAAGTTTTGGCGAGTTTTCGATCTGCTAGTCTTTTGATCTCTGATGTCATGTTAAATCTTCTTCCCGCCACGGGTGGAACTCTGTAGAAAGCCAGTACTCTAAAAAGGAGAAAGAGGTTTGTTAATCGTTACCTTTTCTGTTCCATTTCTTTAAAAAGTTAGGCTCTGAAATATTGTTGCCGATTTCATTTTACATTGCCTTACAATTGAGAACGTACTGGAGTATTACATTACAGTGTATCAGATATAAAATGATGCTTCTTTGTAATATTAAGTGATAACCAATTTGTGAAGTAATTCTATATCCATAACTTCTATCTTGTGTTAAGAATGCATCACAGAAATTGGCATTTATTAATAAAATTCCGTTATATGTCATTGTCATTGTGAAATAGAAGGTAATTACCGACCTGTCTAAGTGGAAGGCCCCTATTTCCGCGTAATGGCGCTCATAGTCACTAAAGTAAAAGTGATTTGGCAAAGTTTCAACTTCCCGAGGAAACCTGAAAAGGATAAAGTGATCATAGGAATAGTACCTAAATAAAAGAAAACTGGAACTACTACTTCATTAACGTTTCAATAAAAGTTAGTCTTGTAGAGGAAATCAATCAACACGACTTTTCTTCCATAATTAAGTGTTGTCTATATGCATTTCAAAGCTGCATGTCGTCAACTTAGAATTAACCATATAAGGTTAATTTGTACAGCTGATTAAGCCGGTGTCTACATTGTATAATTAGCGTAGGCATTGTGATAAATCATTTACTTCCGTTCAAACTTTTTTCAAACCTTTAGTTTTACACGTTGTAGCGTCATATACAGACTCTGTACAAATACATATACAGACTCTGTACAAATGCATTACGCCATCACAGATAATTAGATGTCCATTTCTTCATATGTTTTTTCCAATGCAGACTATCTCGCCTTTTTGTTAGGTGCTACATGTATAGTTTGTTTTTTCTGTTCATTCATTGATGTTTTTTCTGAAAGTCCTTTTGCAAAGACAGAATTTTTAGAGTGCATAACAAAGCCTCAATATGCTCTTAGATATAAATGTATAAAATGTAATTTTTTGAAGGGGGTGGGGTGGGGGGGGGGGTAACAAGTAACCGATAAATGATGAATAATTCCTGTATTGCTTGTGTTGTGCTTGAGAAATCGGAATAATTAGGTAATAATTTAACATGCATCTTGGAGGAATGTGATTCAATCAACCCCTCGGTGCATCAAGCACATGAAATGTTGCGGTTACCACATTTAATTAACTCTGCAGTGTATCTGTAAGCTTGGATTATTTCAAAGCTGAATATCATCACTCGCTGATTCTCAGGCAATATTGGAACGGTTCGCTGATAATAGCTTGAATATTAAAATTTCAAACCAAAAATTATATCAACAACATTGAATCATTTGCAATACAAAGTTGTTCATCCTGCACACCTGTCCTTTTCACAAAACTTGAACTATTATTTTGTTGCAGTCGACTGACATTTTTTTAAAGAAAAGAACATTGTATGACAGCATATAAAATTATGAAACCCTAGGATCTTAACGCTCACCTGAGTCCGTTTTAACTTCATGCATAATGAATATATACATGTTTACAGATAAATGATGATTCTTTATATTTAAACTAATTCATATTGAACTTAAAAATATATATATTACAGTGGACCGTTGCATATCAATGTGATAATTTGTTACCCTTTTACTCTTGAAATCAGTAAAGATTTTAACCTATTATCCCTACGTATAAGTCAACACCTTATTGTAGCCCCATCATACCCCGGGGGCATAAACAGAACACTACATAGGGCTATATTTAATACTTTGATTAACTATAACTCTGTTGTTCTTGAGAAGATCGTTCCTATATCATGTCTTAAGTTTAACCCCCTATTTGTAGGCCCACCATACACCTATATCATGACTTAAGGTATAGATGGATACTTAAGGTTAGAAAATTATGTCCTTTTATGGATCGGATACCTAAGTTTAAGCCCCTATTTGTAGGCCCGCCTTAGCCCAAAAGGTCATGATGTGTACAAAGTTGAACTTACAAGCCTAAACTATTTAAGGAAGCTTACTTAATTATAAGCTTGTTTTCCTGATCCAGTGGTAAAACTTTTTTTGAACGATATAATTACATTTTTACTATTATTTGATTCAAACCCTTGAAAGGGGGCATTGCCCTTTATTGAAGAAAAAAAAACAAAACAAACAAACAAAAAAAAAAACAACAACAAACAAACAAAAACAGAAACAAAAAAAAAAACAAAAACTTGCATCCCTTCTTCTCAAGATGATTTGTGGTTAAAACTAGCCATTTCCTTGATGAAAGGACAGAAATATGAAAACTTTACAGGTACTTTACAAAGGTAGGCACAGACAGACTAAATTTAGATGAGAATAGCGTATTGTGCCTTTGGCTGAGAATAGCTCAACTGTGCCTTTGGCTTAGGTAAACAAATTGAAACATTTAACGGGACATGCTGGGAAAAAAAGCAATCTGAATCTGAAGACACCACTCCGAAAATGGATACTAGCACATTTATATCATATCCTGTACCAAAAATAACGATGTTTCATTTCATTCCAGTTGATTGACATGTAATTGGATGATATTGGTAACATTATATACATACCTCATTGGTTTGAATAATGCCTGCCCCTCGTCCTCGAAGGTGATGATCAATTTGAGCTGTGTGCCGCCATCTTTTTGCTCTGTAACAAAGAGCGCACATGTTTGCAGTTCTATTGAAGGAATTTGAAAACGGTAGCATTCATGTCTTACGTAAGTTCTATATTCGTCTGTTCATTTTGTAGTAATAGTTATTATAATAGTGAATAATAGTTTTTAAACCGGGGCAAGCTACTGACAAATAAGTTGATATTAACATGGATTCATCAACCCTGTTTAAAGTCAGTTTTTCGCAACTTCTACGGTCGTTATAATGATTGTTTATAAATACAACCTATAGTTGGGTCGTATTTTGTCAGACATGTTTCATACCATTTGTTAGGGCATTGCTTTTATGCTAAATTTGACTACGGCGTATTCCGTCTACTTGATCTGGCTATACACAGGGCTCACCACGGGTGTGGGGGATACTTACTCCTCTTAGGCACCTGATCCCACCTCTGGTGTTTCCAGGGACCTGTTTTTACCCTGTTCACGATTTGTTTTGTCTACTGTATTTATAAGATTGATCAGTTTTCTTGATCTTCACCTTTTACATATATGACGTTGGGGAAATTCATTTATATTCAAATTCATAGTTACTGTAAATAGAGACATACCAATCTAGTTCACTCATAATCAACTAATCATTAGTATGGTAGTATCCGTTGTAACTTTATATTGTTATTACACACAGTATTTCAAGTTTACTTACTAATATATATATTTTATATTCATTTAAGCACATGTTCAAAAAAAAAGATCTCTAGGAAAGTATATTTCATTTTCAAGCAAGGGTACTTTGAGAAATACTTGTAACTATGGAAGATTGAATGAAATGGAATTTCTAAAATATAGGAACTAAGTTACATTTGGGCCACAGAAAATGAATTCTTTGTTTTACGTTCCTGGGAGGATAGCTTTTTCATAAAGATCCAGTATAAAATCAAACGAAAGTTTGTCAATTTTTCAACTTTTTTTCCGGGCATTTTCTGTAAATTTTAGACAACTATTTACTTTATCTTTTAGTCATATTTAAAGAATAACAACACAAACAACTTTCTTTCTCACTTATTAGGCTTAGTCAAAATTTTGCTTTTTATTGAATGAGGTTTCAGAAATGAGTTTGTTTTTTAGTCGGATTAGAGGGTACCATTCAGAAAAACCAAGGGTCGTTAAACATATATATAATTTACCACGGCCTTATTTGTAAACAATTTTAATCAGTGATGGACTACATATTTCGTTTTCCATGGATTTCTACACAAAATAGTCGGCTACATATATTCAGATTATTATAATTTTATTTTTCTTTCGGTATTCAATGTAAATGATTATTTTTAGCATCGCTTCTGCAAATAAATGAGTTGAACGTCTAGCGATTGAATTTTACTACTCTACATTTTATGTCACTTTTGTGTTTTATTAATGTAACATATTGCAAGTTAAATATATATTTAGACAGTTATTAGAATTATTTATGATTTTATGCTTGCATATTGTAAGTTAATGAAATATTTGTTGAGTTTCCTTCATGCTGAAATAATGTGTGCAGGCTATGAATAATTCAATATGTGTTTTTGCAGTCATTTTCTAAAAATAGATTATGAAATAAGATTTTTTTAAGTACTCGATTAGCAAAGTCATAATACATACCAACATCAATAACGGTTTCCCTTTCCATGTCCGTCAACAAACCGTCAATGGCGGGGTCATCGGGGTCATACATATAATACTGATTGATTCCCCTTTGAAATTTCTCCCAGTTATCGGATCCACCCCTGAAAAAAAGATCATACCATCTACTGAAGATGTTCGTACCATCTACTGAAGACTAAACGTGTGCTAACTTACTTTTATTTTCAAAACACTATTTAGGTCAGAGTGGTTTATCGGAGTAAAAAAAAAAAAAGTTTCTTACTCGGTATCTTGTTTACTATGAATAAAGTGATGTGACGAAAAAACTTTGCGTCGCTGTTTTATTAAGCAATGTCTAAATTGTTGAAGGAACAAATATTAGGCACCTTGTAAAAACGTACTAAAAGCTATGCAGTTAGTGTAACAAGAAATTTGACTATTTAAAGCAGAAAAATGGTGCTACAATCGCATCTCCAAGGCCAAAAAACGAAATCGAAGCCCTTAACCCTGGTCAACTTACAAAAAGTCAAAGAATTCCGTTTTGAACAGACCATAATTTACATCTTAAAAATTCAAATTATGGCATAGCAAATGTATTTCTGGTCGCAAAGGGGAAACTGTTACAAATTAAATCTGTTTGTTTGGAAAGAAAAATTAGGTATAGACTAAGTGAATATGCAGAAAAATTGTCGAGAACTAATGAATTTGTTAACTTTCAGATCCTTTTCGCATTAATAGATTTATGTACATTTTCTCATCATATTTAAAACATAGTTCTAACAGCTACTGCTGACCCACGGAGGTGGGGGTCAATGACGAATCATCAGATATATACAGTACAAAATGTCTCATTTATGTGGTGCTAGGTAAAATATCACATTCTGTATGGATTCGATATATTTTTTTCAGTCTACGTAATCTATGCCACCAAATCAGGAAATCGGCGTAAAAGTTTCACTTTATGTGTAAAAATGGTAAATACAGATATGATCTACAAATTTTAGATGAAGGGGTACCTTGCAAAAGAAAAAAAAATAATAATGACCAATATTATGTCCACTGAACACGATTCTTTTCTTCTTTTTTTTTCTTTTTCTTGCAGAATAATATACATATACATTGTATTTTTTTTTAGTTTGAACATATATTACTGTAATTTATAATTACAAATGGATTGGGCACAAGTTCTAAAAAATTAATGTGCATTTATTTTATTTTTCTGTGTAAAATGCAATTAAAGAAGAGCGACTTAGGTATGCCCAAAACGCTTTTCTTTCAAATCAAAGAATGAAATTAACTTTATACAAAAAAAGAAGTCTGAAATTATTAACACTGGGATGTTAAACAATTACCGTTGTCATCCCTCATCGTTTGTCGGGTGAGAGCGACACAGAAAGACAAATGGCGACTGACGGACAGCCTGGGGCCAGCATTAGAGGACAGTGACGTCTTTCTTAAGTGTCAATTCTAGCACAAGAATTAGTAACATATGTACAAGGTGGTATTGGCGATTATGCTTGTGAATTAGAACAATGTATAATTTATACAAATGTTAATGAGATGTTACTCCTTCACAAATCTCAGACGGTTTAGGAACATGTTTTTTTTCCCAAGAATATTGACTGAATATTTTAGTTATATATTCCAATCTCTCACTTGTATAGATTCAATTTAATTTTATTTTCGATACAATTAAATAAAAATCCATCTTGTAAAAAAAATATCCATCGTCTGATGCTTTCAGTGAACATAAAGAAAATATTAGCATAATTGAACAATTAAAAAAATCCAATCAAATATGTATATATAGACATTCTTTGTGACGCATTTAGCAACAACAATCCACAAAAACGTTAAAATGTTCAACCGGAATTGTGTTAAATAAAAATTTACATAATGACATTCTGTGATATTTCAAATGTAATTTGCTAACGTGTCATAAATATATGAGTTGGTGTTTCGGTAGAACATTTGTTTCGGTTGAAATGATCCTGTAGTGTGTATATGGTGGCTTTCTTAAGGTTCTGCAAATCAAACTTCTGGATGTCTTGCATAAAAAGGTTAATAAATAATTAATAAGCTACCACTTGTAAAAATGTTTACATAAAACCCTGACAATAAAATGTAAGAGTCCTGCTTCCTTACATCGAAAAGGTTTTCCATGTCTTCGCGCGATTAGAGACTTTAACACTTGTAACAGAAGGACGGTTGGGGCGTGAAGTGTTCCAGCAAGCTTATTTACATCCATCAGCCGAAAACCCATCATCATCGATTCCAATAATACCATGGCATGAAATTCATCTTGTCGGTTTGATAATGGCTTATTACGAATCATTTTCACGGGAATAAATATATAATTCTATTGTGTGGTTTTAATCACTCTCTTCTTTTCTATATTATTGCTTGCACTTTGTGGACTCTTCAAATCGATGGAAAACTATTGCCCATTTCGTATCGACTTTAATTAAGGCTCGTTTGTGGTATACAAACATAAAATTCTTGCAGATAATAATACGTCAATACTTCAAACTCAAAATTTATTTTTAAAAACCATTTATGCTGATGTATCGAACTTCAAAAGAACTTCGGAGATATTGAGTCTGTACCTGAAAATTTAAAAACTTTACACAAAGAACAAAAAAGGTGACGAAAAGGGAAGGATAAAATTGAAGTCGACAAATTGGATAAAGGTTGGAGAGTGTCTGAATAAGATCGATGTCACAAGGCGAGGAACTGAATGACAGGTTTCAGACATAATGGATAAGGGTCCTCACCAAGCTTTAATGAATGGAACATGAACTAATCTCATTACCTAATCTGTAAGAAAACCGATAGAATCAGTTGGGCATTGAACTTATTTATTTTAGGGGGGAAAGAAGACTGCAATTAATTGATACCCACAAGTCAATGTGTAAGTCTATATAGGTTCCTCTCCCAAAGGATAAACAAACCTAAGCCTGACCTTGGGTACAAGTAGTGCTGTAGCTATGCCATTCCAAAACTCACCGGCATAGCCACAAACAAAATTGCTAAATAAACAAAACTAGAAACATCAACAATTGATAAATCTACCCCGACAGCAGACCTTACCCGGCATCCTTCTGATCAGCATATCCAGGTAAATAAATCCCTTTTTTATGACTTCGTTTCTTAATGTTCCACAGTACAGTGTCGTATGGAGTCACACGTAATTCATCCATATCAAACATCTTAGGATGTGTCCTCCCTAACTTCTGTAGCATAGAGTCCACATCTTCGTCCGTAAACTTGACGGGAATTTCCTCGTGGGGTTTCCCGTCTTCCAATCCCCTGGACTGCCCTCTCTCCCCTTCCACAGCCTCCGGACTGAATTCATCACTCGTGTAATTACTCTTGTTTAACCTTTTCCTCAGAGCCGAGAAATGAGCGTCCGTATCCACAATTCTAGGAATTAGTTTCCTGACATGATAGGACGGTTTAGAGTACTCTATGATTTTTGGCAAAGTTTGTAGTAAGTAGATACAGGTTAAAAGAAATGAAAGTCCTACGATAGAACCCAGCACACGGTGCTTTAACTTCATAGTAAAGGTGACCAATCCCCGTCTCACTTGATAGCAGTAGCACCCTTAAAGACAGGGACCATGCTTCTGTTACACAGAGCCCGCTACTGATGACATACCTCTGCCTGTCACTCAACTACCACTACAGCACGCCCTCCCAGTAAGGCGTTCAACTTATAAACTGCCTCAACTTCTGTTTTGCTAATTATTTCTAAGCTTCTCGTAAATCCAGTCAGTTATAAAAAGTTTAAAAAATATTCGACCACAGAATAAAACACACAGGTAAATTACGGCAAGTAGATAGAGACATTAATCCAATTTTCAGAAACGATAAAAGTTAAACCTTCAGAATCTCTGCACTTCAACACGCGCTATTTAACTCATGCTGTTCTATATATTTGCGGTCGATTGAATCTACCAAAGTGACGAATGCATACGCCGTGGCTTCGAAGGTAAACTGTACATAAATATCTGTCATAACCGTCAAATATTCTATAAAGAATGTTTTCCTCTATCGAGATCAATACGAAACAATATCATATGTAATTCAGGATTTCTCACAGTTTCCAGTGGAAACAGAGTATTATAATCCTCCAAGTATTGGTGTCCATACTCATGACAGTAACACGAGGACTTTGTTTGCGCGGACAACAATAACTATGCCACGTAATGTATGTTATGTACAGAGTGTAAACAATAAGTATATTACATCGCCCCGGGGTCGGTCACAACATGCACGTACAAAGGACACCGTCCCTATCGCTTGTACAGAGAAAAAGTCAAGCTAGCTTTATATAGTTTGTGCCCCGACACAACCATACGCCTCCAAGAGGAAACATAACATCAGATGTGCATTATAATTCTGTGTTGTTTCTTCTCGTTTATCATCACTTTATCCTGTGTAAAACAGTTTTAGTACAATTTATCCATCGTCAATAGTCTCAAACGTCCGAAATTCTAAAATAATTTCCTTTCAGACACATTTTTTGTGATAATCTATTCTAAAGTCCTTAATCTTTTACTTTGAAGGCTGCATGGTCAACAAATGACCCAACAGGTCCACCTATAAATACGAAATATGATTTTTTTTTTTTTAGCCATAAACTATTATCTAGTGAAGAAATAAACCCCCATATGTTCAAGTTAAAGTTTTATACAGAGCTGGTTTAAAAAGTCATGACAACCCAGTCCTCTTAAATGCAGTTTGTTTTCAGAGTCCACCCTGATCTAGTCAGTATTTATTAAAATACAGCTGTTATTGACGATAGCTACCCGGTAATAGGAACAAATATGGATGTTGGTCTTTCTGTAAAATGTACCACATAAACTGTATCTATAATAAGTATCAAGATACTGAAGTTATTCGTCAGTCCGGGATGAGGTAATGATGCGTAAGATTTGCTCTTTCTTTCTCGTGGATTTCAGGTAAAGGATACATTACAGTTATTCGTTCATGAGTGATTTAATAGTTACCCATTCAAAAGTTATTCAATAATTATTTATTCAGAGGACTTTCAATGATTCAATATGTAAATGTAAAAAGATTATCATATTATCTGCATGTTTTTGGATGAAATGTGCTAGAGAACGCTTGACGATAAAGTCAATAATTAGGTAACGAATAAACACCCATGCGTCATCATAATTTGATGAATAAATTCATGGATTGTATCAAAGAAAAAAAAATCTTTCATGGAAGTGTAGACATCGATCATCATACGACACAAAGAGGGCGTCCGAGTCATTAATTCTCAATAATAGTAATAATTATCAATCACACAAAAAAATCACAAGGGGCTTTATATTCAAAGATAAACTCAATAATTAGGATTAAAAGGTTGTGAAAGAATTATCGCCACTAGATCAGATGATATCTGTGTTATTCAGTTAATAACATGTATATATACTGTCGATGACCAGAAATCGGAATTCTTATTACGTGACGTGAATCAGCTGGGTGGAGGTGTCAAAATGAAGGTCGTACAAGGATTAAAATTGCCGCAGTAATCCAGTAATATCAGTTATTTAGTCCACCAGGCTCAATACTCACAAGAAATATTTTTTACATTTATAATATGGATCTATTATGGACTAAAGAGTAAGTACATTGGATAGACACAATTGTGGCCATTTTCATAAGACAAATCAGCATTTAGAATCCAGCAAAAGTATCAGCAAGGGCCAGTCAACCAACAGTCAGCACTGCAAACAGCAACCGTTGTAAACAACAAGCCTTACTCGATCACAATCAGCAATGCCAAGCAACAAGCAATCAGCGGTAAAAGGAAGCAACTAGATTAACAGTAAGCAACTAGAGTTAACACTTAGCAATCAACGTTAACAGGGAGCAATCAGTGTTAACAGGGAGCAAACAGAGTAAACAGGGAGCAATCAGAGTTAACAGTAAATAATCAGAGTTAACAGTAAGCAATCAGAGTTAACAGGGAGCAATCAGAGTAAACAGGGAGTAATCAGGGTTAACAGTAGGCAAACAGAGTTAACAGTAAGCAATCAGAGTTAACAGTAAGCAATCAAGGTTAACAGTAAGCAATCAAGGTTAACAGTAAGCAATCAGAGTTAACAGGGAGCAGAGTTAACAGGGAGCAATCAGAGTTAACAAGGAGCAATAAGAATTAACAGAGAGCAATCAGAATTAACATTAAGCAATCAGAATTAACATTAAGCAATCAGAGTTAACAGTAAGCAATCAGAGTAAACAGGGAGCAGGGTTAGCAGAGAGCAATCAGAGTTAACAGGGAGCAATCAGAGTTAACAGAGAGCAATTAGAGTTAACAGTAAGCAATCAGAGTTAACAGGGTGCAATTGGAGTAATCAGGGAGCAATCAGAGTTAACAGGGAGCAATCAGAGTTAACAGTAAGCAATCGGAGTTAACAGTAAGCAATCAGAGTAAACAGGGAGCAATCAGAGTTAACAGGAAACAATCAGAGTTAACAGAGAGCAATCAGAGTTAACAGTAAGCAATCAGAGTTAACAATAAGCAATCAGAGTTAACAGAAAGCAATCAGAGTTAACAGTAAGCAATCAGAATAACAGAGCTACAGCAATCAGAGTTAACAGGGAGAAATCAGAGTAAGCAGGGAGCAATTACAGTTAACAGGGAGCAATAAGAGTAAACAGGGAGCAATCACAGTTAACATGGAACAACCAGAGTAAACAGGGAGCAATCAGAGTTAACAGTGAGCAAACAGAGTAAACAGTAAGCAATCAGAGTAAACAGGGAGCAATTAGAGTTAACAGTAAGCAATCAGAGTTACCAGGGAGCAATCAGAGTTAACAGGAAACAGAGTTAACAGAGAGCAATCAGAGTTAACAGTGAGCAATCAGAGTAAACAGGGAGCAGGGTTAACAGGGAGCAATCAGAGTTAACAGGGAGCAATCAGAGTTAACAGGGAGCAATCAGAGTTAACAGTAAGCAATCAGAGTTAACAGGGAGAAATTACAGTTAACAGGGAGTAATATGAGTAAAGAGAGTTAACAGTAAGCAATCAGAGTTACCAGGGAGCAATCAGAGTTAACAGGAAACAGAGTTAACAGAGAGCAATCAGAGTTAACAGTGAGCAATCAGAGTAAACAGGGAGCAGGGTTAACAGGGAGCAATCAGAGTTAACAGGGAGCAATCAGAGTTAACAGGGAGCAATCAGAGTTAACAGTAAGCAATCAGAGTTAACAGGGAGAAATAACAGTTAACAGGGAGTAATATGAGTAAAGAGAGTTAACAGTAAGCAATCAGAATTAACAGTAAGCAATCAGCGTTAACAGAAAGCAATCAGAGTAAACAGAGAGCAATCAGAGTTAACAGAAAGCGACCAGAGTTAAAAGTAAGCAATCAGAGTTAACAGGGAGCAATCAGAGTTATCAGAGAGCAATCAGAGTTAACAGTAAGCAATCAGAGTTAACAGTAAGCAATCAGCGTTAACAGTAAGCAATCAGAGTAAACAGGAATCAATCAGAGTTAACAGGGAGCAATCAGAGTTAACAGGGAGAATTTAAAGTTAACAGGGAGCAATTAGAGTAAACAGAGTTTACAGGGTGCAACCGGAGTTAACAGTAAGCAATCAGAGATAACAGTAAGCAATCAGAATTAACAGTAAGCAATCAGTGTTAACAGTAAGCAATCAGAGTAAACAGGGAGCAATCAGAGTTAACAGAGAGCAACCAGAGTTAAAAGTAAGCAATCAGAGTTAACAGTAAGCAGAGTTAACAATAAACAATCAGAGTTAACAGGGAGCAATCGGAGTAAACAGGGAGCAATCAAGAGTTAACAGTAAGCAATCAGAGTTAACAGTAAGCAATCAGAGATAACAGAGCTAGAGCAATCAGAGTAAACAGGGAACAATAAGAGTTAACAGGGAGCAATCAGAGTTAACAGTAAGCAATCAGCGTTAACAGTGAACAATCAGAGTTAACAGGGAGCAATCAGAGTTAATAGAGAGCAACCAGAGTTAAAAGTAAGCAATCAGAGTTAACAGTAAGCAGAGTTAACAATAAGCAATCAGAGTTAACAGGGAGCAATCGGAGTAAACAGGGAGCAATCAAGAGTTAAGAGTAAGCAATCAGAGTTAACAGTAAGCAATCAGAGATAACAGAGCTAGAGCAATCAGAGTAAACAGGGAACAATAAGAGTTAACAGGGAGCAATCAGAGTTAACAGTATGCAATCAGAATTAACAGGGAGCAATCAGAGTTAACAGTAAGCGACCAGAGTAAACAGGGAGCAATCAGAGTTAACGGGGAGCAATCAGAGTTAACAGTAAGCAATCAGAGTTAACAGTAAGCAATCAGGGTTAACAGTAAGCAATCAGAGTAAACAGGGAGCAGTTGGAGTTAATAGGAAGCAACCAATTTTAACAGCAAATGATGAGTCAACGGCAACATGCAATCAGACTTAATAACAGCAAGTAATCAGTAGTAACAGTGTTAACAACGAGTCAAAGTTAACAGCCAGCAATCTGCTAACAAATGCAATCAGCATACCAAAAATGTTCATAATAACCAAGGATATCAATTTTAATTGCATATGGACAAAAAGTATTTAGAATTCAAATGCTAAAACAGCAATCCTAAAATTTGGTACATATACATCATCTGGTATTGGTAGCATCGATGCTACTTCTGGTAGCATTGATCTCATTTATCCATCATGGTCGGAAAAATGATAGAATTTCTTAATTAAAAATATTCATCATAAAAAAACTTTTATTGAGCTTTGGGTGTCTTATTTCGTATAAATTTTACTAAGGACAGTACATTATACACTTAAAGGCTATCCACCGATCCCAAAAACCTGAGAGATTGCTATCCACAAATCCTATAAACGTTGTTATTGATATCCACAGTCCTACAAACCTGACATTGCCATCCACCAGTTCTACAAATCTGACATTGCTATCCACCAATCCTTCAAACCTGACAATATTATCCACCAGTCCTACAATCCTGACATTACTATCCACCAATCCTTCAAACCTGACATTGCTATCCACCAGTCCTTCAAACCTGACATTGCTATCCAACAATCCTTCAAACCTGACAATATTGTCCACCAGTCCTACAAACCTGACATTGCTATCCACCAGTCCTACAAACCTGACATTGTTGTCCACCAGTTCTACAACCGTGTCAATGTTATCCACCAGTCCTTCAAACCTGACATTGTTGTCCACCAGTCCTACAAACCTGACATTGCTATCCACCAATCCTACAAACCTGACATTGCTATCCACCAGTCCTACAACCCTGCCATTGTTATCCACCAGTCCTACAAACCTGACATTGTTGTCCACCAGTCCTACAACCGTGTCAATGTTATCCACCAGTCCTTCAAACCTGACATTGTTGTCCACCAGTCCTACAAACCTGACATTGTTGTCCACCAGTCCTACAAACCTGACATTGTTGTCCACCAGTCCTACAAACCTGACATTGCTATCCACCAATCCTACAAACCTGACATTGCTATCCACCAGTCCTACAAACCTCACATTGTTGTCCACCAGTCCTACAACCGTGTCAATGTTATCCACCAGTCCTACAACCGTGTCAATGTTATCCACCAGTCCTACAAACCTGACATTGCTATCCACCAATTCTGCAAACCTGACATTTCTATCCATCAGTCCTACAGTCCTGAAATTGCTATTCACCAGTCTTACAAACGCTGTTATTGATATCTACCGGTTCTGTTATTGCTGACATTTTAATAAAGTTCATCTTGTTGACACACATACTTTACTCTGGGGGATACTTCATTCAGTATTGCTGAAAATGAATATCGCTTGTCTATTGCACCTTCTTATATCAGCATTATGGTAGATTCAATTGATTGTTTTATATATAAATTGTGTATAGAACAGAATTTAGTAGTATATACTGTATTTCTATGTTGTGAGTCAATTTATTCTGTACAAACAGTTGGACACATCTAATTCCATTTTTGTGATATTACATGCGAATCAAGTTTTTAGAATTTGTGCCCAATCCCATGGGATACATTAATTGCAATAAAATATGTTCAAACCAGTGCTTCGTATAACCAAGAATACTGATGCACATTATTATATATCAGACCGGGAGATTTTAATGTCTCAAGTTTATCTCTATATGATATAATATGTGCAGTGTTTGAACAAGTCAATTTTTCATTCTTTGTACAAGGCCTTTTATTGTACACTATATAGTCTACTATACAGTATGAAATTACTGTTCCACATATAGATAGAAGTCATAAGCTATATAAATGTGTGTAAAATGCCGTATCCTGCATCAATAGGCCAAGGTATGAGCAATCGGATAGTACTAACCAAGTGTGTTTAATGGTTAAAGTGTTAAAGCTGGTTCACAGGATAATATCAAATTGTTGCAGTCGAAAAAATAATCGGCAGTAACATGTTGAATTTTTTGTCAATAGTCTCTCCCGTTATACCTTTGTCAGCTTCCGCATCAAACAAATGGCGATCAAAAGCGCTTATTTACAATGGCGGACAGGATAGCATTACAATGTAAACACACGTTCAAAGTAGGTTCACAAAAGCAATCATAAGAAATCAGACAGTGTTACATCGAGTAATTAAATGTAAATACCCCAGTAATTGACAAAGACACTATGCTATAATCAAATTCCCCCTTCACGAATCGATGATTTTGCATCCTTTTCCAGTGAACAGACAATATCCAGAAATCATTCCAATTTAAAAAAGCTGTAATAATTTCATCAATTAATTATTGTTCAAGACTCCCTAGGAAGGTTTATATAAAGTAATATTAAAAACAATCTAGAAGTAGTAACCACAAGCTACCCTTCAGTGTATTTAGCCGAATTAACCTAGTAAAACTTGTTCAAACAATGTCGTATTTCCTTCAACTTGAACAAATTTATACATCTAAATGACAAAAACAAATCAATGAATATAGCAAGTCATGTATATGTGTGAATGAGGTTATTGCTCGTTCTACTACATATTGGATCCAGGCGCACTACTCCAAGGTGTCATCAAAATTATAATTACTTTGCGACGCCGCGAGGTATGGTAATGAAAAGAAGCAATTAAAAATCCTCGTCTTGGTTTGTGTTCTCTACATGGTTCTCGTTTAGGACTCCAAAATGTCTGCTGCAAATTCTCAATGAATTTTGCCTTAAAGGCATATAATACTCAAAAATTATCAAATAAAATTTTGTAAAACAGATTTTGAAGGCTTTACTTTTGAAAAAAAAAAAATGTATTTACCATGAAGCTTTCCAAAAACCCATCCATTTCCTTGCATTCTCACAATTTATACTTTATATCTATATTGAAATTCAATGCTATACAGATTTCTATACGGTTTTATATGAAAACTTCCTTAATCAATAATTAAGCATATATATATATATATATATATATATATATATATATATATATATATATATATATATATATATATATATATATATATAACTTTTCTTTTTTATCCTATGATCCTAAAAAATAAAACAATTCACCTGTCTTCAGCAACAGAGGGTGTTTCTTTCAGAAACAGCACGAAGGACCATTTCACATTTTTGGTAAGTAATCAAGAGTCAAATCATCTTATATTTGTACTTCATTAAGATAGGAAATCCAATATTAGTGTTTCATATTGCTATTTTATTAACCTTAATGATGCGATTTAAGCGACAGACAGAAACAATAAAAGATATCCGTGATTGTTCATTAGCAAGGGATGAAGAAGACGATTGGTATCCGCGGTCCCTGTGAACACCGATTTTTCACCTAGCGTGACATCCTGACACGATCGTGCTTCTTTGAGTCCTCCTTCGTGTTTAATATCTCTAAGTTCCCGCCTGAAAATGAAAAACAAAAATATCAAAGTAAATTAAAAGCCTCTTTCCACTGGTTGCCTACAAAGCAGAATTGAAATAAGGGAACATTTCGCAGGCTTCCATACCGAAAAAGTTTGTGTATGTAAACCTAGCAATCTGTGTACATGACGGTCTACAAGGATATAAATGGATTGGAATTTTTCTCTTTCAAACCTGAAATAGGCTCATTTAATAACAATGTACTATATTCAGAAATTAATTTTTGTGTACGGCGCATATCACTTGTCACGACGTTGTCAGACGCAGATACGGGGCTGTTCTTAATAGTTCGGAAGATGAATTTCAGGACATTTAAGTTGAAGGCAATTAAAAAAATGATGAAAACGATGAACACAACACAATGAGAACAAGAAAACGGACAAAGTCAAGTAGGACCTCCTACATTAATCGCCTTGAACTTCCGATGTTGACCTTTGGCTCAAAATCTAAGAATGTCTTGAAAATGTGGAGTGAATATTTGCATACAAGAACTTTTCTAACTATGGCGATACGGTACTTTGCTAACTGTAACATCTAAATACCCGGTAGTTTTGACTCTTTGACCTTTGTTCAAGACATAGACAGTTTTAATCCGGATAATTCGTTCTCCAAGGAGGAATGTTCGAACTCGAGGAAATTACAACTACTAAAATAAACAACATGGACGTAGTATTTATTTCAGTCACAATTCTAGTCTATACTCACTGAACACCAAGTACCCCCACTGGCTTGTAAGTTTATTTAGAAGAGACACTAACTCTAAATACGATCCCTTACACTGTGTTGTTGTCATTCACGCACTTTATCACAAATAGACACTAAATTCAAAAAATGTCCTCTGAACATTTTTCTTGAACTATGTAGTATACATGCAGGTTATATGTTTAAAAGTAGTCAAGTTCCTACATCATGTGTTAAATTACTTCGAAAGCTGACCTTGACTTTTGAGAAAGTAACCATCTAAAAAGTTCCAAATTATTTTTCACCTTTGTAGTGATTATAAAATCGTCTAAAAAAGGACAAAAAATGTACTAGTAGGTAACAAAATATATTGTATCACAATGGTCATACAGGTTAACAGTAATTTAGCCTTTGACCTAGCTTTGAAAGTATGACCTAAAAAGTAACTGAATGTCTTCTAATTATCCTTCATTTATGCTGTATGCATTTTTTTAAATCTCGATGTTCGATCCAGAAATGTACTTTGTTCCTATATAAAGTCTGCTGTTAAATGGCATGTAAGTCATAGCCCTATGACAGACGGAAAGGCGCGTACGGTGATGTGGAAACGTATTCCACTTTCAAGTAATATATATTTTGCTTCCAGTTCTACAAACACAGAGCCTATACAGAATTTCTTTATTATCCAGTTCTCTTTTCTTATCCAAAAAGTACAATTGTTGCTTAAATTAACATGTACAGAAAGACTGTACTGATTTTTTTTTTTTTAAAGCCGTTTGTACACTTTCTCCAAATAAAATATGCATTCATGTAACAGCTTCGATGGATGTTTTTGAAGTAACTCTTCAATGTTACTTCTAAACAGTAAGAGCATCAAAGACAAGTTTCTTAGGAAATTATTTCTATCAAGTGCAAACATTTGTGTGCAGTTGTTACTGCATAGAAGAAACTCAAAGAACGTCACGTGATCGCTGATGCTAAGATGAAATCTTAGATAACTATACGATAAGAAATCATAGCGATATTCAAACGCTTTAGAAGTATTTTAATTAGCTTCCGTATTACATCCGTTATCGTTGAACATTTTCAATTTTCTTTTGAGGGGTGTTTGCTGATGTAAATTAATGGCACGGTAAAGAAGTGCATTACTCGCATACATTTTATTGCCATTAAATACGTATATTATAAGAAGGAAGGTTCTTACTGAGGCGCACACAAGGAGAAAAGTTAAGTGTACACACCGATTTATTGCGTCTAGAGAGACTTATTGTCCTATCTAAAAATTCATGAAACAATGCTTACATTTTTATTCAACCATTATTAAATTTCATGCTAAGTAATTATTATTGAATTGATAACTGCCTCATTGATATTTGGTACTACACATCTGTGACGCCTTATACCTGATTCCGACATTACAAAGTAACAATGAAGTACGCAATGGAAACGTTTCTGGGGCAATTAAGCAATATTTCTCACCAATAAGAGTAATGCATCTGTATTAAACAGAAATAACAAATAATCTTTCTAAGCTTCTAACCAAGAGAAATCTGGAAAACTTACACAGAAATCTTGGTCTTAATTCTTGGTTTTGCTTTTTTAAAATCCATAATAATTCACACTACAGGAACTTGAATTGTTGAGGAAACATATCTGACTTGAACAGTATATCTTATGAATAAAACATGGTCCCATATGTGGAAATTGATGTTGTGGTTACTGCTGTACAAATGACAGCACAATTTTTTTTTATTTCCAAATTAATCGTGCAAAAAACAGTTGCATTAAGTCTACTGTTCTAAGGCGACAGGTGCGCTTTACATGAATTGGAGTTTGCTGGCGACATTAAGTTATTTGCAAGCTTTCTTCATAAAGCAATACGTCTTAATAAAGCAGTGTAACACTGCACAAACTATTAAGTGTGTTTCTTTCATCAATGAAGAGGAAATTTGCTGTGTCTGTGAAAAGCCTCATCTAAGCAGTTGTAAAAGTGATTCTACAAGCCACCGCTGTAGCTTCAGTTCCGACTGACTGCCTTGTACCTCTAGAACTCCCCATGCCTCCCATCCCCCACGTCTAATTGAAGTCTTATAAGCTCCGACGATTTTAATATCACCTGCTTTTTCATGTTTCCCACAGCAAATTCTCATTAAAAACAGCATTGTTTCTACAGAAAATCTGTTTATAATGCAATAATTATTTTGCATAAATTATTCTAGCACACAGCAGATCGCAGACCCTCTTCAATATACAGATTTTACCCTAACTTTGGTACAGTGAATGATATGATCACATAAAAGACAATCTCAAAGCAGATATCAGAAATATTTTCACCATGTAATATTTTTGTTAACTGCCATGTATTACAGCGTTTTACGGTTTTAACCTTTCGATACACCTGGTAACTTATTTGCCAAAGGTCATCTTCTGTTTCGGTCAAAACACGAGGTCTCTAATTTAGTGGAAAAACGGCAGTGGAAAATATTTTTGAAACATTATAAAACTATCTTCAGATCCATGTATCTGCCAAAGTGAATCATGTCATTCCCGAATGACAAATAAAAAAAATCTTGCTTTTTAATTCACATATTTTGGCCCCATCTATCCTTTCTTAAACACAAAGAGAAGGATTTCCTATTAACTCGACCTTCTTTATACATTGATTGCATAAAACGTACATGATGTACTAGCGGTATAACAATATTTCGATGCAGTAAATAAATAAATAAATAAATAAATAAATAAATAAATAAATAAAAAGAACAAAAACGACAGAAAACAAAATTCCTAGGGAACTTAAAGGAATACAATCCTTTTTTTAATTAAAAAGGTCGTATGTATGGTAATCATGGCTATAACTTTATGATAAAAAGGAATAACACTTAATCTTAAAAGGAATAACACTTAATCTTAAAAGGTATATGAGGGGATACATAATTAAATTCATTTTGTCATGTGTGGTTTTTGACATATTCACACATGAGAAATAAATAAAGTTTATTTCACCAATATTTCAATGTTTTTAATGAAATATGAAATTCAAAGAGGTCCAATCGCTTAATTTTGTGTTTGATTTATGTACAAGACAAATATCTAATAATTAAAAATGCAAATGTAAGAAATAACAATAAATATTCCATACTAAAGAAGGTAATAAAATCTAAATCATTTATGTTTCAATTTCTAGGTTTTGCAAACAAAACATCTCTAAAGGTGCTCTTTAACTCATCATAAGGACTGGGATTTTCATATCCATGTAAGTTTAAACACAGTAACCAGACATGCTATAAAATTAACCCATGTTTCATTACTGCAAATAAAAGATGTACAGGGAAATATCACAGAGTTAAACAATTGAAACCGAGGGAACATTTTGAAGGGCTATGTCACAATTAACATCCAAACATGGTTCCACATATTTTAACATACAATTTTTCACTATGTAAATAACTAACTTAAATGTTATAACTGTGTTCCATAACATTTTATTTGCTCAGTATAATTTACTTGGCGGGTTTAAATCCGTGCCGTTTTATAGTCAGTTTGGTTGTAGCAACTGAGTAGAGCAGACGGACTTGCTCGAGTATTTACAGTAGTATTCTTCATAAAGAAGTAGTGACCAGACTTTCACATCTCTTCTGAGGTAAGTTTGTTTTATAATTTAAAGGTTTTTATCTTATACAGTTTCCTGAAATGACCAAGGACCTTAGTTCTTAATTTTGATGTAAATTATGATTGAGTAATTTGTGCATTGCTATCATTTCATGTATTATTCTAATAGTATACAAGTATATTAAAGTATGTAGTAGCTACAAGGTATGGTGTAAAATATGTGTGTATAGTACGCAAATATTTCGTATATTTTGTGGATTATGCAGTAAAATGCTTGAGTAGTTGCAGTAAAATGCAGTATCAGTAAAATGCTTGAGTAGTTGCAGTAAAATGCAGTATGCAGTAAAATGCTAGAGTATTTGCAGTAAAATGCAGTATGCAGTAAAATGCTAGAGTATCTGCAGTAAATTCAGCATGTAGTAAAATGTAAATTATACAGTAAAGGTTATGATACGCACGACCACGAATCAAGTTAATATATTTTAGATACAAATGTTATAATGTATGTAATTTACAATAATTTTGTAGATCCCATTTGGTCCAGGAAGGCATTCAACCCAAACAACGTTCCATTTTGAAATTTCAAATTTGTACAAAGCCAATAAAATGTGATTCATTCAAAGAACTTAGTCCTTGTTTTCCTATTGTGTGGTGACCACTCGGCCTACCTACTGCGACAGACTACATAGTCCAAAACGATTCACACAAAAGATTTTGCTAAAAATATTTCGTTGAAAAAAAAACATTCAACCTTCCACTGGAAACTGTGGGCATGAAATGAATTTTACTGATAAAACAAATAGAAAGGTAAAATAAATTCAAAGCTCTAGGTAAATCAGTAATCCTTGAGTTCTTGGAAGAAAGATACAGGTCACCATACAAAAAATAGAAGACAATTAAATTTTTTTCTTCAATTTTTAAACATTGGTGTACAACTTTTCAAAATTCATTCATAAGTAATGAAAATTTTCAATTGTTCAAATAAAACTGATGCCTATAGTTTACCAATACATTTCTTCATATTTACCAATTCACTACTAAAAAAATTCAGAGAAATGTGAATAAACCAGTAATCACCAGGGATCAGAATTGCTTTATTTTTTTTACCAAACTATAAATTAGTTACTTCACTATAAATATCATTTAAGGAATGAATGTCTAGCTTTTGGTTTATGATGTGATCAATCAGTATGCTCACATGATAATTTGCATTAACGCTAAAGGTGTTTATGCATAAAATTATCATGCAACCTTGACCTTGTCTAAATGACTTGCTAAGGTCGTGACAATGATATCCTTTGATCACTTCCACTCTAAGGGTAAAATCTTCTGGAGTTATTTTATTATAAATTAAATAATGCTTATATGGAGAATTTTATATTTCACAATCAATCAATGATCTTGACCTTTTCTAAATAACAATGATGCAAGGATCTTACATATCCTCTGGTTACAAGCAACCTATGTATGGGTTCATTCGCCGTAGACCAGATAGCTCAGTTGGTGGAGCACCTGACTGGTGATTCAGGGGGCCGGGGTTCGAATCCCAGTCTGGTCTGTCCTTTTTCTCCTGTTATATTTGGTGCCATGCCATGCCCTGGAAGTAACAGGTGAAGAGCCTGGGTTGGTGTCTTTGGGGGCCAAAGACTTTTAAAGAGGAATGAATGTGGGGATCAGATGGGTTCAATTGCCTGTGGCCAAATAGGTCAGTTGGAAGAGGACCTGACTGGAGATTCAGGGGGCAGGGTTAGAATACCGGTCTGGTCCGCTGCTCCTCTCCCATTACAATAGTATAATCTATTGCCCTGTTGACACAAATGCGCATTAAATTTTACTTCATAGAAAATTAATTCGAAGCAAAATAATGTGATTTAAATCAATGCAAATTTAATAGCATCCACACATAAATGAAAGTAAACCAAAGTGCATTAAAATTTGATAGTATGACGTTATTTGAAAATAACATCATCTTATGCACAGCAGATATATTATAAAGTCTGTATGTGTTTTTTGTAATTAACATTTACATGTAGGTACCTATATATATCTGACCACCATCATGTTGACATTATTTTGATATTATGCATCAAAATTTAATTCGAGTTACCTCTGTTTATTGTTCACATAGCGATAATGCGAAGTTAATTAATTTGAATTCAACTAATTCACATTTAATTTTATGTGTGAATGCGTTCAAATTAAATTCACAGTAACTTATCTTTAATTCAAATTAAACTCTCCATGTGAAGAGGGCATAATATTTTTCTCCACTAAAGTCCTAGCTAGCCAAAGTAAGATTGTTTTACTTCTAGAACCTTTGACCTTGACCTTGTCAAAATTACTTTGGATTAGGGTCAAGATATACTCTTGAAATGCAAACAACCTTTGTCTCCTGTAAATGCTTGTTTAGTTTCTCCATTAGGATTAGAGTCAGGTCAATAACTCTGCAATACAGAAACACTGGATGCAGAAATTTTTTTGGGGAAAAAAGCTGCTGGAGGGTCTCATTTTGTGAGCTTGCTCATACATGTAGTTCCTCTAGTTTTCATTTGCTGGTATTCTTTGTTGAAAATTTTATTTGACATTATGTAGGATCTCTGTAGTCCAATGTTGATGATGGTTTTGTCCCCATCCCTCAGGGGTCAGGGACCATGAAATTTACAAGTACTGTTCCCCTTCATCCAAACATTCTAAAACTGGTTGGAAGTAGTACAGCCATTACTGAGAATTTTTCCGTGAAATGTCTTTTCAAAATACTTTAAAAATAAAATATTTAAAGATTGAAACAAGTTTTTTCTCAAATGACAAAACTTACTACTTTCTTATTTTATAAGCAGTTTTCAGGAATAACTCATCGTTTTCTTTGTATACTTCCAGTTGATTGCTAATATTCAAAACAAGTGTGTTTGAAAAAAGAAAGCCTATTGTAGATGTTTATTATCAAAGAATTGCAAAACTAGCTATACTTTTGAAACACTGAGTATTCCACTGTCTACTATTGATTCCAAGGGACAAAATATTGAAAAATGGAAAAGAATTTTGCAGAGGGAAAGAGCTGGTAGGACCAGGACTGAAACTCCATTTTTGAACTACATGTAATATCCAAGTCCTCTTTGATCCATGAATGTTAGTTTATTAGGCCTACAAACTCTTTTCCTTAACTGAATTTCTCTTCTTTTTTAATATTTTGTACCACACAATACAAAGCAGATGTACTGACACAATACAAAGTAGATGGTGAAATAATCGGTGTTTCAGAAATATCACTAGATTTAACAATGCCTTACTTATACATTACTTAAATAGGCTTTCTGTTTTCAATGGCAGTAATTCTGAGCATCAGCAGACAAGAGGAATTATATTAAATAAATGGGAGTCTATCCATGAAAACTTCATATATCATTGGAAAGCACTATTATACATTTATTGACTGGGTTCAAAGGCAACGTGTTTTGTTGGAACGGCCTCAGGCAAACAGTTTGGTTCGAGGGGTCAACAAAACACAGTCAGTAAATGTTTTGTTATACCTTTTTATTTTCTTGATATATACATGTACATGTATCTTGTGCTGGCTTCCCTTCACCTGCACTTAAACTCGTTCAATTCTGTCATTGTCGAACATCAATGAATGCATATAAGATTTAGCTGATCCCACCCACAGTGTGACGTAAGCAGTACATCCTATATCTCATCGACAGGTCCAATATCTCACTCTGCGGTCAAACATTTTTTTTTTATGACCGCTCAGTAAAACATTGGAAATGTTAGACTTTTTTAAGTATATTATATTTATATATTATATAAGAACCAACTTTTAAAGGTAAAACAATAAATTATTTTGGTTATGAATCCAGTTATTTTATCAAATGTCCTTGAGGTTTTTATCAAGGTTATCCCACTTCCAATTTTTACTTCTCTCAAACACTAAATTTAATAAATCCTTCAATGCTGGGAGTAAAATTTTAACCAATATTAGAAATGCATTCAGCATAGTAATGTTTTTTATCTAATTTTTCACAAAAAAAAAAAGTCAAACATTCCATAGGAGTGAAAACCAAAACTGGTACCGATTTTCTTTCAATATGTAGATATAAGACTTTAAATTAACTTTCAGTCATGAGTTCGTACCTTTTTCAACACTGGACAAGGAATTTTCATTAAGTCGCACAGGTTATTTCTGACTGGTCTTATTTTAACCACGTCTACTTCATCATCCCTAAAATATAAGTATCCTTTTTACAGGAAATCAAAAATTACATTATCAATAACATTCTTATGAGAATAGCAATTAGTGAAAGCCATTATTATAAGATCTGAAAGCACAGAAAGGAAGTTTAACATTTACACCAAATTAGAGGTGAGATTTCACCATCAAATATAGATATGCTAATAATAAAATTCATCTGCAGCTGCTCTGCTTTCAGTAAATCTCTTTAAAGTTAGTATTAAGTATAACCTGCAATATTGCCCAAAAGCATTAAATAATTCAGGTAGATTACCAGCTGACATTATTTAAGGAGACACCTTTCTACTAGTTTATAGGTCACTCCTGTAATATTTCTGGGGATGGTCACGACCCCCCTTTTTACCACCTGAGCTACTCACCAGGTGAACTCACTGAGGATGGTAGTGATCTCTTCTAGACTGTCCTCTGGCACGATGTCGTCGTACGTCACTAGGGCCTCGTATAACTTATTAGCTGTTGCCTTTCTAACCTACAGCATCAAAAGAGGGGAAGATCATTACTGTGTGACCTATAAATGACTCCTCATGCAATTTTATCACCTATTCTATAACACATCTAAGTGTTATGGAAAAGCCACATACTCTGTCTCATTCTATTAGATGCATTTTGCCCGACAGCAAATGGCAAAATTACATAATTCCTTCATCAATTTCCATACTGATTGCAAAACTTTTATAGAAAAAACGTAGGTATCAGAGACTACAAAGCTTACATCGAACAATTTCATCCAGTAAGTAGTTATTAGTATTAAAACAAAGTTCACAATTATTAAGAAATAGACCTGTTCTAAAACCTTTGACCTTTTCACTCATCAAGCAAAAACAGTCTAAATGCAACCTGCTAAGCATGTCTAGGAATATGCATCCCAAGATGCATCATCCATGCAAGTTTGCTCAGAATAGGTCTCAAAGGTATTTGATACATTTGGTGGTGTATTCTATTTAGCACCTTTGGCAGAAAGTAAAAAACTAAAAGTAAAAAACTAAATCGCTAAATGTCTCGTATGTGTAGTAAAACTCATTTAATACAAACAAAGATATTTCAATTTGATGGATATGGCAAAAATTTTTTTGATCCCTGTCAAAATTCTTAACAATTCTTTGTAAAATTTTTACGGTTATTTGTGTCCTGTAGAGGTTAAAAATAACAAATTTACATCTTTCATAATGAATTTTTAAATATCTTAAAATTTAAATTATAGAAGTGACATTTTTCTTCATAAGTATTTACAACTGAACTTCAATATCTCAAACAATGATGTCTTGAAAATACCATGAATATGTCAAAGAGATTTGAAAGTCCCAACCACTTATTCTGTAAGTGTTTTACCCTTGATATCTCAAATCCTCAAATATTTCTTGGTCCCAATAAGTTGGAGATAACAACATATCTCACATCTCTAGTATTAGAGTTTACCCTTGGATATCTGAGAAACAAGATGGTAGTATGGCCACAACAGATATCTTTTGTATTAGAGTTTACCCTTGGATATTTGAGAAACAAGGGATATGTTTTATATTAGAGTTTACTCAGGCATATCTGCAACACAAGACTGGTAGAGTGATCATGACAGATATCTTACATCTCTTATATTACAGCTTACCAATTGATATATGAGACATGAGAGTGGTAGAATGACCATTGCAGGTATCTGTTATATAAGAGCCAATTACCATTGGATATCCAAGACACATGTATTGTAGAATAATCATGACAAATATCTCCTACACAAAAGCTGTAACTGGAATATTTGTGAAACAAGTCAGGTAGAATGTTCAAGTCAGATATCTCTTATGAGATTTTATCCTTGGATATATGAGACATAAGACTATTAGAGTGGCCATGACAGACATCTCATATTTTTTATGATAGAGCTTACAAATGGATATCTGAAAAATAAGACCGTAGAGTAATAATGACAGATATCTCCTACACTAAACCTTACAATGGGATATCTGTAACACAAGTCTGGTAGAAAAATAATTTTAGATATATCTATAATTAAGATAATTTACCCCTGTGACACAAGTCTGGTAGGGATATCTCTATAAGTAGAGCACTTACCCTTGGATATCTATGACACAGCAGTATAGTTAACTGTTGAAGAGATTTCTTTCTGGCTTCTCCTTGAAACTGAAGGAGACCACAGTACCTATAAGTAAAGAGGAATGTGTAAGAGTAAATATGAAACAACACTATAGTGAGCTGTCTACCCTGCACTACCTTTCAGGGGTTGAAGGGATTTGTCAGTTATTAATTTCTGGATACTGCCAACTTGGGACTGATAAGCTTGTGATAAAAATAAAATTTTGGAATCTCTTGTCACAAATAATGTGGTACCGGTTTACTCACTAAAAACTGTCAAAACTGGAAAAGGGCATCTATGTCATTAAAATATGTTGCAGTAAATATATAACATCTGAAACATATAAATTAGACTCATCTTCACAAACTGATGATCAGTGATGGCATACTTTTTTGTTAATCACATCCACTTTCATTTTACATAGATTCTTATTATATGACAAACTAACAATCTTTTAAAACACGTGAAATTTTGGGCCATGACTTTGATTGACCTTTCTAATTAATGACAATGCCTACTGGAAAGTTTGATTATAAAAGGAAAATGCTGTTTCTTACTTATTCACTATGCTTTCATAAAATTTTTAGTAATCATGAATGTAGACTTTATACTCAACTTTTCAGAATCTGAAATAGAAATGTCAATGAACTATGTAAAAAATAGTGTAGCTACCTAATACAAAGATTACAACCCAACTGAAAAAGCTTTACATTAAGAAATTACAGCAAATTTTATCAAGAAGTCCTAAACCAGAGGCCCATAAGGCTCCCGAGTCACTACATCCTTGCTGTTCTTCAGCAGATTTATCTCATATATTCCTATGTAAAACTATGATTGCATACTATGGCCCCATCCTACACCTGGGGGTCATGAATTGAAGGAACTTTAATTTATACAACCTGAGGATGCTTCCATATCCTTATCACTAATCATGCCTTTGCTATTCTTGAGAAGAAGATTTTAAAGAAGATTTTTTTCTATGTAGTCCTATGTTAAAGTTTGATCACTGTAGTAGCCCCACCCTAATCCCGGGGGGGGGGGGGGGGGGGGGGGGGGGGGGTCATGATTTGAACAAATTTTAATCTACACTACCTGAGGATGCTTTCTTATCAGTATAACTAATAATGCCTTTGCTTTTCTTGGGAAGAAGATTTTTAAAGGCTTTCTTTCCTATATATTCCTATGTAAAACTTTGATCATCCATTGTGGCCCCACCCTATCCCTGGGGGTAATAATTTGAACAAACTTGAATCTACACTACCTGAGGATGCTTCCATATCAATATGACTTATCATGCCTTTGCTGCTCTTGAGAAGAAGATTTTTCCTATAAACCCCATTTTCATTCCTATATAAAACTTTGATCGCCCTTTGTGGCACCAGGGATTTGAAAAAAAAATTGAATCTACACTATAATGAAGCTTTCACATAAGGGTTCTTGAAAACAGGGTTTTTAAAGATTATATACCTATGTACAGCTTTGTTTGCCCATTATGGCCCCACCCTACCCCGGGGGTCATGATTTGAACAAATTTAAATCTATACTAGAGAATGAAGCTTTCACAAAAGTTAAAAGTTTTCTAGCTCAGTGGTTCTTGGGATGAAGATTTTTGAAAGATGCTATTAAATTTTCACTAATTCTTCATTTTCTCCCCTTGAAAGAGAGTGTGGTCCTTCGTTTGAACAAACTTGAATCCCTTTTATCCAAGGATACTCTGTGCCAAGTTTGGTTGAAATTGGCCCTGTGGTTCTTGAGAAAAAGATAAAATTGTTTATTATGACAATGATGACTACAATGACAGACAACAGACAAATTTTGATCATAAAAGCTCAATTCAGCCCTTGGCTCAGGTGAGCTAAATATCTTCACCAATTAATTAGATATGCTACAACAACCAGAACAGAATTGTTTAATAATAATAATAATAATTATCATTATATATGTCTTGACAGATACTTCATTTTTAAGTTTCCAATGAACATTCCAGACCTATAATTTACATTTTGGTTGTTTTTGTTTTGAGGATGTGAAGTTTCACTGCCTCCACCAGTGGGTTCATGTTTTTAAGTTTGTCTGTCTGTCTGTCTATTGGAAGGGCTGTGGGTTTTTAAGCCAACAGCTTATAGCCTAGTGACTGACATGGTCTTAGATTTTTCTTCTTTGGAATGTGTAAAGATGGAATGTATTGGATTTGTCTGAAAATTCACAGAGAAATGAATTCTAAATGTTGTTACAGTCTTTATATGAGTTATCTTTCCTGTCAGTAATTTGTCAAATATTTACTGACAAACAGAGCAGTATTTCAGCTACCCTGAAAATATACTTGATAAACTCTCAAGATGTTAGAGAGTCTCCTTTGCACATACCTCTTTTTGTTTTAAATAAGCCTCTCATTTTAAAGAAGTGAAAATATAAAAAAAAACAAAAAAACATACATGTGTACATTCTACAGAATCTGAAACTTTATCAACCAGAGGCTTTTTATTGTTTTAACATCTTAATGGTGTGCCAATAAGGGAAAGAAAAAAAACACTCAAATCAATCAATCTTGCACATAGGTTAAAAAATCTGGACGAAAGTGCAAAGGTGCACCACTTTAATACATCTTTCACTAAAGGCACACACCTCATTAGAGATCTTTTTTTAAACCTTATTCATTAAATTCTTCTGTAAACAACCTACAACTTTGATACATGTTTTGCCATAAACAACCAAGTCCTCAGACCTCACAAGGACACTGGGTCTGTAGCTAATGTCAGTTTTTCAATGTATGTACAGACCACTCCCACTGTTTTTTACTGAACCAGTCAAGCTGATAAAATATACAGCATCCAAAGTGATTACCTAGCCATAGATTACACAGAACATGACAGAAAGCCTTCCTCTGAAAAGTGACCTTGTGACCTTGATATTTATGGTCTTTAAGGTCATTTGTCTTGTTCAGGTTTGCCTTCTCTGTGTTAAGGTGACACAGAGATGTACAAGTCTCGGTGACATTTAACGGCATACAATTCGCCATGTGACATATGATTATAGTGACATTTATACTACATCAGCTGTTGATTTAATTTGTTCCACATAAAAGAGATAACATCATCTATCATTATCTGTAGAAAATGCTTTTAGATTCAAAGAAACACAAGCCTGATGTATCATTTTCTAAACTCTACTGGTAAAGTCCAAAAAGGATTTCCAATATGATGGATTATTTCTGACCTTTTTAACAAATTTCATGTGATGATAATTTAATTGGGCCAATGTTTCTCTAAATTGTACGTGCTATGGACTTTAACATTTAACTTTCTAATTTAGAAACATTCATTTAATGGTACTTCTCTACTACTAGAAGTAACACACTCAGTTAACATCCCCATGCTCCTTATATACCTCGGCGCCAAATCAAAAGTACTGTAGATTCCTAAATATATGCAAGAAATAAATTATCGTGTATTTTAGCTAGAAGCATCATTTGGGAAATAAAATCACTCGCTATTATTTTTATAGTGCTTAAATGTATGCAAAATCTCTAGACCAATCATCCATTCATGAATTACTTGCGATTTGATGCCCCTGGGCCATTTCTCGGTATTAAGTACTCACAAAAATAAGGAATCTACAGTATCTTGCCTTGAACCACTAGCATAACATGCTGGAGTAGGGAATGTTCGACCTACACTTGCACTCTGTTCAGATAGAGAATTTATTTTGAATTAAACATAAGTTCCTGCCAATTACTGTAAACATATTTTTTTCCACAGGGTCACATTTCTGTGGAATCATAATTTTCTAATCAATCAGTGGGTAGAAACTTTTATGGATTTCCTGGATTGTTATTATATTTCCTTAGTACATTTTATGTATGCTGTGACAAATTTCTAAGGAAAAATTGTCATTGCGTACAAAGTGTAAATTAATACCAAACGGAAAAAGTACATCTACAGTAAATTTGAACAGCGTTCACACAAAGAAGTTAAAGCAAATTAATTATTTGGATTTAATTTACTGCACATCAAATTGCTTTGCATGATATCCATGTCAACACTAAGCAAAGCTATAAAATTTGAATTAAATTTTGTTGCATGCATAATAGCAAATAAAACCACATGTCTCATGTCCATGATGCTCTCCAACCAGCAAGAACAGACAACTGTTCCAAAATATAGAAATTCTTCATATCTTTGTTCTTTCTTTGTTCATGCAAAATTGACATATTGACTCATATCTAAGTTAGCAATATATATTTCTTCATACCTAGTTCTTTACAAGGAAAATTCACTGTTTACCTACCCAACAAAATTTATATGAGAAAATGTGATAGATATAGAGATTGTATTATCATTATTGTTCAGTTGACCCCAAAATCTACAGGTGTCTTTCTTTTACCATCCTTTACCTACATGTGTACAGTGCCTACAGTGTGAAGTGAGTAATATTTTAAATGTAAGGGTCATATTAATAATCTTGACCTTTGACCTAGATCTTCAAACAAATAAACCCAACATCTACTTCCTGACTTCCTCTAGCCACCCTCCTACATATAAGTAATGTGTGTTTGTAGTTCTAAGGGCATTTAAGTAACTGAATCACATAAAAATGTTGACAGACCTTCCGATCTAGAGCACTAATACTGTAAACATATTACATTTAGCTGTGTATTCTTTTTAGCACCTTTGGCGGAAAGCAGCTTCCGCTAAATCAAGTACATAGCTAAATGTCTAGAGTATATATATTTATAACTAGCACATTCAGATATGTACTTAATCAGATTTATGCTAACTTGTTGAAAAAGCAATTTCAGCCAAATATTGTACATGCTAAATAATATACATTTACAGCAATTGTCTTCCTCACCCCACATCCTCTTTTTAAGATTTAAATGGTGTATGCTCTGAGTTTAACTTCTTTAAATATGGTAAACTATAATACCCTGTGATGGGAACTTTACAATGTAAAAATTACTGAAATTGGTCTTTGTACACATTAACCATTCCTCACAAGGTAAACTCCATGAATAAATTTATTTTGAAATGTAAATTAATACTTTTAAACTATTCTAGGCAGGAAAA